TCTCTAATACTATTTTGATCTATCAATCTATATGATATGAACTCTTCACTAAATATTTGCAATACTCAGTCATTTTCCTTAATTTTCTGCACAGGAATCGTGAAATTTTATGCATCCCACTTCCTTTATTAAAAATAAATCTTAAAGGAACCCCCCTTTGTAGATCTTTTAAAGGCTGTAATTTGAAGAAGTTAATTCATTTTCCACTTCTCAATTTCTCCCTTACGTTTGTACGTTAAGCTTCCCTAAGTCTGGCATTTAGGCTCTTTGTGAGATCCTTCACTAAAAGTTTGCATGTTTCTGACCAATTTAAATTGACAATCATTTTTTCTATATTACTTAACTTATCCATGATGACTACTGCGCGAACTTTATCGGCCTTCAAAAGAAACAGATCATTTGGGAGCAAATATATAGAAATCATATACAAGTTATAAGCGTTCTCGGGAATAATTGTCTAATCAAAATAAGGAATTGCTTCTCTTTCTACACAATTATTAAATTATCTTGCAACTTGTCTTCGAAGGTAAATAATTCAATCAATACGCCCATAGAATGTGACTCCCCATTTCGAAAGGCAAAGTTTCCGTAAAAATTAGAATAATGGCTTGATTTTTGTGAGAACGTATAATAGCACGCTTATTAATCTACTTGTTGTAGTCACTGTTACTTAACGCTATTTTTTGTGCATAAATTCCACAATTTTTACCGCCTGAGTATCTGTGAATTTTGTCCATTCATTCCACTAGGTCGTCCGTCATATGTAATTTAAGAAAATAATCTCAGGCAAATAGACTAAAATGGGCTTATCTAATCCTGGTTTTTGTTTTAACTAGATCATGCAATTTGGTAAGACTTTCTCTAATCTTTTACATAACCCATTTGCTTAACTAATTCCTAATCCCTTACATTTTGCGTATTCTTCAGTGGGTCGGTTTCAATGACCCCCTTAGCTATGCACCTTCTAGTAAACTTCCCTTAATCTTTTTCTTATCCAGTTTCTTCAATGGATTGAGCCACTTCAGCGTTCTTCACGCAACAACGACCATAAGTGCTTTGAATAATTTTCTATGGTATCCACAACATAAAAGCGGCCACATGAGGGCCTTATTTTGCAGCAACCTGGCTTAAATAAAAGGTCATATTTCTATCTAATTGCTAGTATAACTTGAGAATGTCTTTGATTTCTCATCTTCACATCAATGAGCCTATATCTCTAGAAAGAAGAAACCGAGACAGAATCCGAAAATAGGGTAAAATTTGAGAAGAAAAGTCGGATTTCGAGGAATCTCCCGGTTTATAATTGTTGAGCTCAATCTCATTTCGACATAAATTGTGTGATGACGGGATTAAAAGGTAGATCCCACCAGAAAGCTACTGAGGATTCTATTCGGCTGACTGTCGATTGCGTTTACTGAAACATTCATTTTATTGTTGTCTACAAGGTAATCTCCTTCGAATCTAGAGAAAGCGTGCTAGGTTTTTGCTCATCGTAAGCAGGACATCATCACAACGGTGCATCATTCTTACAGTTAAATTAAAACTAATTTGTCAATAAAATTCCCCAGCGGGGGTTGACGAGACTTATGCGAAGTCGAAACTACAGTCCACTCTGCGTGAGATTGCATTTTGTGAGACAATGTTAATGAAATTCAATAGCATCGTGCGACCTACTCAGTTTATTGAGGAAAACTCCTTTATCAGTTCTTAAATCCCCTTAAGTGACTATGCGTGACTCAGCTTCAAATTAAGAATTAGTAGTAGTCCCAAAAAATATTTATAGAGAAAATAAAATTATTAGTATATACGAAAGTATGTTAATTAAATATGCCCATTTCTCTTAGGCCAATTTGAAAAAGTAAATTGTATGAAAGACGACATGTTCAGCTTACGGATAGAGCCTTTATAGAAGGGAGAAGATTGGTGCAGCCTTCATCACTAGTAGATACCAAATAAATGGTGAGGCAAGCAGAGTGAAATATGACATAAGTAATTCAGAAATACAAGAAGTTTACCAGCTCATTTTGGAGTGCCAAAAGAAGGGCGATTCCCATCGGTGTGGCTAAGGCTAGCTCGACCTCCCTGTTATCCAGGCAAGCATTCAGCTCAGTAGCTGCTTCGGAATCTTCGGGCTTCCAGAAGTCGGCAGTCTGCACGACATCCGAAACGTGACTTCCATGAGCACATGGAGTCGCTGGCGTGTTGACATCGGCGCTGAGGTATTTAAGCAGGTAAGAGACTAGCTGGACCTCTCTGATTTAGGAGTAAAAGGAAAAAATAAAGATGTATATGTTGTAAAGATGTACAGGAACGTTGTCTAAGCCAAGCTGTAAACATGAGTGCTAATATTATAAAATATCCAAGATACAATGTCCATAAAAGCAGTGCAGACCGGAGTAAATTGGCAATAAGGAGAAACGTTGAAAATACGTCGGGGAACCTGGTTGGTCCTCGCACATATTATGTTTAAGTCAGAGATGTCGAGGTCGGCATTTCACCCTCACCTAAGTAAGGGTGAATTCATATACTAGAACACTTAAGTAAGATATAAACGAAAAAAACTTGAATGCTGACCTAGCCCTCTCTAATTCAAAGATAAAAATTGGCAAGGAAGTTCAAACTCATTAAGTCCACATGATCAGGGTTATTAAAAAAATTAAATGGAACACATAGGCTTCGTCATTGGTGCAACTTGGTTCTTGGTAAATAAAGTGAAATAAAAAAGAAAGAAGCATTTGCCAAGTTGAGAATACCCGGAAATTATAGCAAGATGTAGGACGGTGAACTGGCCGCATAGAGTGGAGCAAATGGAAGACATTGAGGTGGGCTTATGACGGCCTGGGTGGACAATCAAGAAGTTCTCATTAACGCAGCGCAGCGGAAATACCGGAGCCTCTAGAGAACCGCTAGGCAGGCTAGAGCCGGCCTGGCACACAGACTCGAGTGAGGCAACTGTTGAAATAGAGGCCAGTGAGATTGTGTCAAACGACTGAAAAGACAAAGAGGTAGAGGGGGTGGTGCCATTAGTGACAAATTCGGATCCGGAGCTGCCTTCAGTGAGATTTGCAGAAGTAACTGGCACTCTAATCCAATTGCGTCGGGATACCCAGCGAGCCGCAAGACGACGCGAAGTGTCAATTGCACAAGCAGGTCGAGCTGATCGGTTGGATTGAAAGACGCGGCGAATCTGGGAGTAATAAAAAGCCGGTATGTAATCAAAGGGAGAGGATGGATAAAGATAAGAAATAAAAGCGAGGTGATTGAGGTAAATCAGAAGGGCAAGAGAAAAAAGGGTAGGTAGAATATTAAAAGTATAACTACCAGGATAAGGCAGTAAAAGTAAAAAAGATTGAGAAAAAAATGGCGCATACACATAAAAGGGGCTTATAGCTAAACATGGCAGAATAAAAGTTGGATGCTTTAATATCCCATAAAATGTGGATCTAATTCTACGTTTTACTGGATATTCTGGCTTTGCAAATGATAAATGAAAAGTGAATTATTAGTGCTAAACGGTATAGCCGTTCAGGGTGCACTACTGCACAACTCAAGTTTGAACCTTTTTGGAGTTCTGATTGGGCCCATGCAAGATCTAAATGGCACTCGAAGGTAGTATAAAATCTTTTGAACATTTTAAAGCTTTTTAACTTTTTTGATTACTGATTTATTAGCTAAAAGGCAGAAACGACATACAGTGTAGCCTCTTTACTAAAAGAAATTGATCTCAATATAAAAATGAAACTACCAATCGTGCCCTGCGATAACGTATTATTCGAATGGATAAGGTAAGTGCGGCCTTCAGGACGGATTAGGCTAGATAAAAGAGCTGCTTTACTGTCATATGAAATAATTATCAACTCAAAGTGGTAAAGCGTAGAATAATAGTAGTAACTAAGACGTTGTACAGTGATTGATTAAAATACTAAGCATAATTTAGCTTTGCGAGCCCCTTTCCAAAAAATATTAAATATTTAGAAAGTATGTTTCGATGCTAGTATTCTATTCTGACTGAAGATCTTATTTTTTAAAAGTAATCAAATGACTTTGCACAGTTATTTTTAGTATTATTTGATTAAATTAGTGCTTTTCCTGCATATTTTGAGCTTACCCAACGAGCAACGTAGTTACGACGAACTCTATCAGGGCCCCTGTCTCTTTGCTGACCGGACTTCACTTTCACGATCCTGATCCATTCTGAAGACTTTGATTTCAAGCCCAGAGCAGCTCGGCTATCTCCTGGTGATTCACTCGCCTCCCCCACAGGCCTGCCTACTGCCTCATCGTCTTTCGTAGATATCAGGGCTCTGTAACATTCTGCCTCAGATCCCTTATCTTCCGATAGCGCTCGCTCCTCGTCGATCCCCTCTTTCTCTAACTCTTCTATCTCTACCTCTTCATAACTGCTCTCTTCAGTCAATTCAGTGAACCCCTGCGGTGAGACAGACCTGACGCCTCGGTCTTGATTTCGCAACCGAGATATGCTTCGAGAGACCCGGAGTCCAGGATATTCAACAAGGGACGGCCCAATGTCAGAGAGGACATCGGTAGAAGACCGACTAAATCTGCTCTCAAGGGAAGGACTATATTCATATTCATCATCACTATACTCATTATCGCCATCAGTTGTGGTAGCGCAACATGATACTTCAGGCCGGTCAGCAGGGTCCAAAGTGGATTTTGCCAGCACTCGGTGTTCAACAAGTAGACGGACACTATCCAAATGGCCGTGGAGACAAGCAAGCTGGAAGGCGGAGAGAGCATTTGTTTCCAACTGGTCGAGGCTTGACAAAGTTAAAGAGTGAAAAATTGTTAACATTAGAAATTGCAAAGAATTGTATTATGTGCGACAAAAATGAAAATAATCACAGGCAAATTAACTAATTCAGCCGCTGCCGTGTAAAAAAGTAAGGGTATTAAACCCAAACGATTTATGGACAATTGCAGACATAATTTCAATAGTTAAAACTAAGTGACTTTTTGATTGGCTCTAAGTACCATAAGAAGAAGTACCCCGTCGTAATTTACTAACACGTCAACACAAATACACATGCATACAAGTTGCAATCGTACAAACCTGTATTTAGTAGCACCGGATTCCGACCTTGCCCTGAATGATAAGTGATAGGGTCAAAACTATTAATGAATCCGGAG